GTTTTCCTGTGCAACCTTTTTCACTCTTTTTTCCTGTTTTTTTCCTCCCCCCCAAGCTGGTATTCAATGACGGTAGCTCGATGGTATACGCGGACTCAGCTTAAATGGCCTAACCAGTTTCACCCAGAAAATGTTTTTCATGTAACGGCCTTCCGACGGAAGTTGGACTTGGACGGGACTTAATTGGGTTTTGTTCCACGCCCTTCGATCGGCCGACTGGGCTGCTGCGACTTTTGCCCTCTCTCACCCTTCGTGACGAGTGCCAGAGCAACGTATCCGCGTTTTCCACGCGTTTTCCATCGGGATTTGCCCCGTTGTTCGGCTATCGATCCCCTTCCTCGTCCTCGTCTCCTCCTGGCGGAGCCGTTCTTTTTCTGGGAACACGGACAGACTGCCGGGGCCATGGTTTTCCCTCCGTCGCCAAAAATCGACTCGGAGGAAAGCACTCCCGCGAGACGATTTTTATGGGTTTTTATTTTTTTAACCTACATTTCGGCACGTCCGTCGGCGAAACACTCTGCAGCCCGGGCCAATTCGACGGGAAATGGAAATGCACGGTCCGCGAGAGCTCGCGAGAACTCGTCGAAAATACGAGCGTTAATTCGCATCATTACCGGCCATCCAACGTAATTAGAAGATATCTCGCCGCGAGATTTAATCGCTCGCGTATCCTTTAACGAATCCACGATGGAATTTCTGAGCTGCGGCGGCGAGGAAGTAGCTCAGTCCACCGGATGCCAGCAGTTTGTTTTCGGAAACGAGTTCTCGAATTCGCGATTCCTACCGAAACGGAACACCCCGAGAGGCGAAGTTCCTCTCTGTCAACAATGTTCTACGTTGCTGCTGGGAAATTCTTCTTTTTTCTTGTTTGCACTGTCCATCGATCCTTGTTGTAAACTAATACGAGGTGAGTCGATGCAAGCAAATTTCGGGTTACGTTCGTTGGAAAAATGGAGAAAGTCAATAATTATTGTGAAGGAACAGGATGCTTTGTTCCGCCAGAACACATATTTAATGCGTTGTAAAACTCGAACCCTTCAATTTGATTTTACCTTCAATCATGTATTCCCAGTTCATAAAGCAACCCTTCGGGCGATGTAAAATATTCATCCGAAGCTTTTTGTTGCTGTCTGCGCCTTGTTCTCTTCTCTTTTGTTGCTTCACGAGCTCTCAGGTCGCCGATGGTAATCCGCTTTTCGTCCTTTCCGTAGCAATACTGGCGCGAATATTGGCCAGTTTTGATGCCCACGGTATTAAGTATCCTTAAGTTTGCTGTTGCTCTTTCATCGAACACACAAGCCGCAATATCGATGTCGAGGATGCCTTGGTTTGCGCGTTTATAAAATCAGAAACTTGAGGTGGTTTGACAACCCGTTTGCATTTATTAACGATAGCTGAACAGGATAGAATGAACGGAACTCTTAATATATTAAAATACGGTTAAATAAAATCGCACGGTAGATACAATTAAATGAAACGAAACACTCGTAACGTACGAGAGGTAAAACTTTTTTAATTAGTTTTACATTTTGTTTCAACATGATTTATTTGTGTTCGTTTTCTATTTCGTACATTTCCAGTGTTTCACTCCGTGTAATTATACGTACTGTGTTTTTACATTTAATTGTACTTTTCGTCGGATGAATGCAACCGGGAAAAGAGAAGCCTCGCGTGTGGCTATCATTTGTAAAACGTCGATTCTTGAGTCCTTCTCGTTGCGTGGGCCCTTAACTCGAAGTAGAAACGAAATTAGATCGCATCTCCCGTCGTTTCTTTCATTCTACTTTATACCAACCTCTCTATTTTTCTTCGCCCCGTTCGAATATCGATCTCTACCCTCCCAATGTTTCGGGTTCGCAGGGACGCGGATTGCCAGCGACGCTTATCCAACGAGAAAGCACGAGGTGCGTAACCTTAAGCAGGAGAAAAGTCGGCTTGGACAGAGTTGTCGGTCTCGCGGGACGATTTGCGAGCGTATCTCTCGTACCCTTCGACTCTTCCCTTCAACGAGTTCCTCGAGCGCACCCTTTCGCACCCTCCTCTTCGACGAACGTCTTTCCTTCCATCGTCTTTGATCGTTCTTGTACACGCTGCATAGCTTTCAAGCAAGAACCGTGGAGAATAAAAGCTTCCCCGATGCTCTGTGCAAAGTGGGCTTCACCTTTTCCGATTCGCGAGCGAGTTACCGAATGACACGTCGTCGAACGTGTCGACAAAGTGATTCTTCCAACGGTGGCGCAGGAGTTTCTGTCGCCGATACAAAATTCTTTTTCCGAATAGCGAGTTTTTAACGTCGTTGACACGCGTATTTTTATCGTTGAATTGCGTCATTTAAGAACCAAACAAGCTTTGAATTTATCGGAGAATTGTGCCAAATGCGCTGCCAGAACAGTATGAATAATCAAATTTATCAAGTCCACAAGCCACGTAGCAACTCCGAGTATAGAATCTTCTACATTTTATATTCTCCGTTCGATAAATTAAGTTTGGTTAAAATACGTATTTTCTGTGCACCTGATTGCTTCCTTATTTGTCGTATCGACGACTGTATTTTCTACGTCTTCCATATTTTATTTTCAAGCAAATTGAATGGAAATTGTTTGCTATTTACTCTGGATATTGGGTAATTAGAAACGTCGCATCTGTTTTTAACCGACTTCGAAAAGGAAGAAGCTGGACACCTACCCCAACTTGATACCTAATGATTCACCTTGCCACGTTATTTCTCGATAGAGTTCCTCGTTAGATACATTAGATTTAGTTTCAGTTTAAAATAACACGAAACATACTTCGTTACAAGGAATACATTCCTCGAGTAATGTTGATCCAAGTCAGTAAATTTCATAGCGGCTGTATATTTAATCAAAAGTAATTAAACGCTAAAATTCCAAAGATTAAACAAAACAAGCCGAATTAAACTGAAATAATCTCGTTTCGTACTGCGCTGTAACTTCTGCGACACTTGTTCTCCGAATTTTGCCAAGGGACCTTTAGTCCATCGCGCCAGTTATGACATCCCAAGTCCCCGAGGTACGACCAACAGGAGATATTATCTCTTGGCAATGAAGACGTATAATTCCACGAGATTACAACGCAGTAGGGATCGTCCCTTTTTCGTAAAAAGCTTCGTCCACTCTCCTGTTTTTATTAATATTTCATTGGTCCCGTCGAATTGTCCATTATCCTCGCGCATCGCTGACCGTTCCAACCGAATAACGTTTAAAGGCGCGCGTAGCGAACCGTCGCGCATACGTGTGTTATACACAAGGGCTGTAACCCGCGCAAACGCATGGAAACCTGGCCACGATGCACTCGTTCCCTGGACGTACACACGACCAATCGTTGGAGGAATTAGGGGGTTTGATGTCCACCCTGGTACTTTTAATTCAGCAAATTAATGAACAGCGTCAACGTCGCCGACGTAGGGACGACTGTCGCATACAGATAACTGTACGGAAAATTTGCGGGACGGGCGCTCGGTAACGTCGTTATCGTGCCCCTGGCAAACCTACCGTGGAAAAATCGACGCGGATTTTCGGGAGTATCGCCACTGTAAACTGGTTAGTCGATTTTTCGAGTTACTGGTTACCACGTGTCGCGTCGACTTTCCCTTTGAGCATTTTTATTTCGGTTCCATCGAACGCCACGCGTATGCATTTGCTTTTTCGTCACCCGCGGCTGTTTACGCGTACGTCTATAATATTTTAGTGGACTGCTTTCCAGTGTTTACGAAAGGCACCGCTCTAAATTGAAACGAGACTTCTGTGATTCATATTATTCGTTCGTTTGTTGAAATTGAACAGTGTAAACAAAATATTTAATAGAAGGCCCTCCGTTTCCAGTAAATTACTTATTTAAAATGGGTATAATAGAAATACACCCTTAAAGAAGTTGATCTCTGCTCACCAATGTTTTAATAGGATTAGATGGTTAAGCCTACATCGAACCCTTTCATTGGCGCCCCTCTTGGATCGCGAGCAGCCACCCCTAATTTGTAAAGCGATGTTTTGGTACGAACAATGGTCGTCGATATAAAAATTCTGCGTTTCTGTAAATTTGACGAATGGGGAAATGTAAAATATAGATTCTCGCTCGTTCATTCGCGCGATATTTGCGGTGCGCGGTAATTTTTTTTTGGCGCGCAGGAATATTTTGAACGCGGCTTGATTGCACCGAATCACCTTTTTTCCGCTGATGAAAACACCGATGGAAATCATTCGCGCGTAGGACCGTCGATGAGAGCCTTTATTAAATAAACACGGAGTTTCGATGTTACTCGTCGCGGAGCCATCTTTTCACGAATATCCGCGAAACTTCGTATATACGCTGGCCAACATAACGAGATGATCGTTAGCCACACGGTTATTACGCTCTCTCAGCACCCTCGCGCAAATAAAGCGTGCTGAAATCCGTGCTGGCGCAAATATTCCGGGCCGAAATTCAGGTCAAGAACCAACAACGAACAATGCGCTGAAAAAGACCAAGAATCAATGAGGTAATTTGAGCCGAGGTTAATTGTCCGTTCCGTATACAGCGTATTTAATTTCCGAATTAATTAGACAAAAACGAAATTTAAGGCTGCTCGTGTAAACGAAAGCTGAATACCGTCGCGTACTTTTTATATTCATCTTATTTTCGGGGGGTAGCTGTATATGACGTTTAACAACGTAACGAATTGAAATTGCAACGAGTAAATTATAGCTAACATTGTTATTATTATTAGATGTTACATTATTTCATAGTAATTGTGTTAAATTTTCTGTATAATACGCGAGCTCTACACAATAGTCTGTTTTGTCTTTGGCATATAATGCACCACTAATCGCAGCCCAGGGAATCCTCGAAACGCGTCATCATTAAGAATCCATCTCGCTCATAATCGATGCATCTCGCGCTTATCGGCCGTTGGCGGTGTAAAAAAAAAAAAAACAGGGAAAGAAAAGAAAGGATCGAATCTGGAATAAATAACGAGCCCCCGTTTCTCTTTTTTCTCATTGCAGATTGGCGGCGCTGCAGTAGCGTCGACGAGGACGTCGAGGACGACGACGGCGTGATCGTGTCGCGGGGGTGGTGGGGTTGAAAATCGGCGCTTGCCCGGTGTCTCCTGTGTGTGCCTCTCTCTTTCCCCCTTCGATTCTCCTTCCCCTTTTTCCACATCCACTACCCCCCTATTCTCTCGGTTGCTGCCTCTTACTCTTACCCACGTGCGTGAGAGATAAGTGTGCGTGTAGTGGCGACGCGTAAGGACGCACACGCGTCCCGTATAGAGGGAAGCGAACGGCAGCGCCACCACGCGGCTGCGCGCACAGCACCGCGATCCTGGCGGTGGTGGTGGTAACGCGCAACGTGGTGGGGGGCGCGTGTCACCTGTCGTGACGTTGCGCGGTGTCAGTGTGACGGCAACCGTCGTGGGTTGTGGATCGTATCGCGTCGCGTTATCAGTCGAGTAACTTCGCGGGGTACATCGGAGTACAGACGCACGATCGTCGGTCCCGTACGTGGTGTGCACAGTCGTCGCCTGGGTTCTCTTTCCTCGTGGTTTGCCTCACCCCAACACCCGTTTGTCCGCGTCCCTTCGGTTTCGCCGATTTTCGAGTCCGTCGAGGCGCGGTGCGAGCACGCCGCGTTCGATTCTCACGAATGTGCGTGGCTAGGGTGCCGGTCCTGAAGGAAACATGCGTGAGCAGAGCTGGAGGACAACGACTGCGACAACGACGAGGAACGCGCAGCACGTGACTGCGGCACCCTCGCACGTTCTGCTGCAGTGAGTGGAGAGAGAAAGGGAGGGAAAAGAGAGTGATAGAAACAACGTCCTTTCTCCTTCCGTTGTTACGAAAATCGGAGTCCGTGCGTTAACGGGTAGTAAAAAGAGTGTGCCGGTGATTGGTGCGGTATACGTGAGTTGCTACTCGAGATTCTTTCGTTCCGTGATCCCCTAACGGTGGAGACTCCGAATCCTGGCACGTTCCCGTTCGAACCACCCGAGAAAAGATGAGGCGTACCATCTTGGAAACCAGGATGCACCCTCTGTTGTCCTGCTGGTGTGTCGTCGCCACGGTCACCCTCGCCTTCGCAGCGTGGCAAGAGAACATCAGGCCGAAGATGTACGTCCAGCTCGGTAAGTGAAACGTTATCTACGTATATCTACATCTACTAAAAACTCGATGATTAACGCTTGTAAATGGTCGAAATTTCATTGGAATAATCAACTCCGAATAATCGGCTCCGAAACCCTAGAAACTCGGTGACTGATCCGTCGTTGAGACGCAGATAGAGACATAATTTCATTCATATAATCGACTCCGAAACACGCATTCTTATCTGTGTACAAGTTCCATTGATCTCTGTGCGTCCTTCGTTGTGAGGCGCGGCCGTCGGCTTAAGCGATTCCTGGAACTCGCGTTACCGCGAACGACCGCTGTTAGATTACGTATCTCGCGTCTCGGGCCAAGGCTGATCATGTCAACAAAGGACGCGTTCCGAGAATTGGGGGGAGAGGAAAAAGTTCCTTCGAGTTCGAACAACACCGACGCTTCCAGCGAGCAACAGAATTTTCATTTCGGAGCGTGGGAAAATTCTCGAATTGAGAACGCTCGATTTTCCCCTTTTTCTTCTTTTTTTCTTTTTTGCTTCGCTCTTTATTTAGAATTCCATGCTCGGTGCTCACCGATCGAACGAAAGAGAATTCTTCGGTAACAAAAGCGAGCGTTCATCGGGCGTATCGGGATTACACTCGAGGAAAAATTAAAAATTCCTTGGAAAGGATCGGCTTTCCTCGTTTGCGAAAGGGAGCTTCATTTTCCCGGTTTTCTCGCGTACCACTCGTCCGGGGTAGTCGAACGACGATGCGGAACGGAAGTTGCACCGGGTGCAGGGTCATGGACCTTCCCCCACTCGGTATTGTTTCACCCTTAGCGCTAGGGGAGCTATGTGTGCAACTCGGTGACTGTAAACCCTAATCAGTGACATAACCAGAACCCCGTACTAGGAAAGAATACAAAGCTATCGATCACCGTGTCCCGTTTAAATGATTAAGGCGCGCGATATAAATGGAGTTCGAGGAAAAACTCGATGCTCGCGATTTGCCACCGTTGCTTCGCTCGCGAACAGAGATGGGCACTATTTTTTTCTTTCGAATAATAGATGACAAACGAAAACGGAACACGGTGATTTATTCTCATCGTTTATTTAATTGAACGGTCGTTCGGGACAAGCCTCGGCTCGGTTAACGTGAAATATTATTTTATAATTCAATTTCATTTTATAATTAACTCGTGATTTAGTTTCGCTTTATAATTAATTTGTTATTCTATTTCATTTTATAATCAATTTATCGCATAATTCAAATTGTAATTTTAATTGAACGTATAACGGAGCAACGGTTGTTTATCATCTATTCGTTACTCGAGATGTTTATCTAGATAAGTGTTTTGCTAGTCTGTGTCTGCGAGGCACGCTTGTGCTCGATAGAGCGTTCAGTCGATCCACCTCTCGTTCGTTTGCTTTCATTCTCTCGCACCTCGACCCAGAGACGCGAAAACAGACACTCGACGGAGCGTGACGGATTAAAGTGTCTAGCCGTAATTAAAAGACAACGGATAGGTACATCGCGCAACTGATCGATATTTTGGAGTCACGGAGATGCTGCGAACCATTCCACTCTGATTTTGGCGAAACTTTGAGGACTGAGACCATCCATCCTTCCAAGTTTCACCCCCTCGATGTATCCTCGAAAACTGTTAGAGCCGCGTGAAAGTTTTCCTGACTCTGGTAGACGGATTTTGAGAAAACACCTTGTTTATTTTTGAAATCTCCAACGCGGCGTAACCGCCGCACATAACTATACTCGACGCCCGGCATTCATCATTGTTTCCGAAGTAAAACGATATTTTGGCCAGACCAGTGACGAATTAGCCAGACCAGTGACGCCTGTTCTCTCGCGCGACACGCGTAGACGTCAGCGAGAGTATAAAAAGCATCGCGACGCTGTCTGGTGGATAGCCGAGCGTGGACGCGCCTCGGCGTGAAGTCTCGTTCCTTTTGGATCTTTTAGCCGTGTAAACGCGTCAGACGCGATCCATCTTTTCCCTCCAATGATTTTGTGCCGATGAACCCTTGGCATTGACTCGCGATCGCTGTTCGCTCTGATAACTTTGCTCGTTGCTGTACAAATTACGCTCGACGGGACCTCAAAGATCTCCACGCCTGAGATACTTATTTCTTCGATAATCGTGGGCAAGTCGATACCCCGAGCCTCTGATAAAAACACCCGACGTATGATCGTCGTATAATGAAATTATTTCGCGAAGAATACAGGTCTGGAATTTCGGAGCAGACGAAACGTTTAAACGAAACGGAGCGTACGATGAATCTTTGTTTTCGTTATGTATCGAAGTAATTTATCTGTTCTGTTTGAAGAAGATTTAAAGCCAATTCGATGGAAACTTTGAAAAATAAAACTGGACCACGCGCTTCGATCGACAGCATAGTTCAATATTTACATGGCGAGATACATTTACCACCCGTTCTCGACGCGTGAAAACAACTTTATAAGCAGTAACCTGTTGTAACATTAGAAACGCTTTCACGCCTCGGATAGATTAGAAGATAAGGTTAACGACCCGATGAGATGCACAGCGCGCATCGCAAACACATCAGTTACCACTTACGTTAATTCGCAGTTGCGTAAACACACTTGTCTCTCCGCAGTCGCGTTCGAACGTATTGTACTTATCGTCGCAACGCATCTATTTCAACCAACAGTTGCAACATTACGTATTTAGCGTCTCGTAAGACCGTCTGTACACCGGAACGAATGATCGATCGGTCTCCACTCGCGACGCTACTGTTTGTCGAACGTTAACGAGGTTTTGCGCTCGTTTAATGGGACAAATTGGAGGCGGAACAATGCACGGAGGAATCGTCAAGGGAGAGGGTTAACCCTTTCGTGTCCGCGGTGACGTTTTCGGTGCACTCCACTTTCGGGCAATTTGTTAAACGTATCGGAGCGTGTGTCCGCGGTCACCCCCAAAAATTTTCAGCTAGTACTCGTGCTATTATTTTCTAGCGATTTCGTTGTAATTGCGACGAGACTGTTGTGCATCGACGAACGAACAACGCGCGTTGCATTTAGATGCCCCGGGGCGTCGTTGCAGATGCAACTTTGAAGATTGACGAGGGGTGTTAGGTGAAGTTCGCGAAATCGTAGCAATTTTGAAAGTTTGGAAAGTAGGCCCGTGTAGCGCGGTTCCGACGCTGCGACAACGGAAGCGCGGTTACCGGTAAATCGAAACGTAAGCTCGTTAGGTCGTTATGAATTTCATCCGTGCATTATTTTCCAATGGCGACGCGTATAGAGGCGCGGTAGGAATTGAAATTACACGAACCACGTGTTATTAATACGCCACTGGCATTGCGGCAACGGCGCTGTTTTGCCCACTGAGGCAGAATTTCTGCTAATTCTACAACGGGGAAAACCACGCCGCAGAACCGAAATTGTAATCACCGGGAAATGCATATTGCCGTTACGAGAGGGGGTATCGCCAGAGAGACTTGGCTCTTCGCTGACGCAACGTTTTCCACGGTTGCACGTTGCGATTCCATGGACTGCTAATGCTTATTTTTACATGGTCCCCCTCGAAAGGATACGCTGTTATTGTTAGTCAGGTGTAACAGCGTCGATTAAATCCTCTTTACGCTAATTCTACCTGGGTTCATCCATTGAAGGGACTAGGCAGGCAAACTGCTCGAGAATGACTACAACTGCAGATTCTCCCGTGATGTTTTCATGTATCTTGCAGATTAGGAAAACGTACGCAACCTACGGAAATATAAGATTCAAATGATTGTTAGAATTGTTAGTAAAAGATTTCGCTTTCGTACTCGATATTTACTTTCTCGGGCTCGATCCTAATCTCCTTTGAATTCTCTCGATTCGCGGCCGCTCGCACATCTTTTTCTACTTCCATTCGTTCTCTCTCTCTCTCTCTCTCTCTCTCTCTCTCTCTCTCTCCCGTCTCTCTGTGACACTCATCACCAACGTTCCATTCGTTCCCGTCATTCGCGCGCATTTACATAACCTATAACATGATAAAGGTTCATTCCACGAATGCGCACTTTTGTGGGAAATAAATTACAGGATTCGACATAAATTTGATATATCCGTTTGCACTCGGGAAAGATGCAATTCCGACTTCAACTCCTTCCCACTGTTGCGATGTATCTCAAGCATTTGGAAATTTTGGGGATACACGCGGCAAGATGAAAAGGAGGACGCTCGAAACCGTACAGTATCCGCGTGTAACCGGACTGGAACAAAACGAAAACAGATCAAAGACTAGGCAGGCGGATGCGTCCGTAGCAACCGGACGATGCACCCAAAAAGGCGGATAAAACCGTCCAATGGCGCATCAGAGTATGTACGCGATTCACCGAGCGCGTATACGCGGCCCTGGCAGTTAAAGGGTTAATTCGTAGACTTGCCGTTCGTGGAAAGTTTCGTTTGTTCGTTTTCTATCTCTCGGGGCGGGCTTTTATCTTCCGGATCGTTGGCCTCGAAACGTAAAAATCATCGACGCGCGGCGATATTTCAACGGACGCGGGGAAAATGGAGCGCGCCGCGAATCGCCTGTCCGACGAGTGGCATCGATTATCGTCCGCGCGATGTTGTTTCGCTAAAAACCGAGAAAGGGGAACAAAAAATGGGGCAAAAAAAAAGCAGCAGCGTAAAATATCCACACGCCTTTCGAACCTCGTAAATCAAGGCTCGTATGCGCCGCCGGGAACAGGACGTTTAAAAATCGAAAACGCGGCGCCGCGACGCGATCGAAGCGCTCTCCCGCTCGCAAGCGAGCACCTCGACGTGCTACCGATTGCGAATAAAAGGGAGATCACTGAACTGGAACCGCTATCTTTGCTGGTCGAAAACTGCGCTGGATCGATAATAACGACGAAACCTATCTCTGCGACGTGGTCACGAAATTTCGTGCGAAAATCTGCCGATTCGAATGGAATAAATGAAAGACAAATGGAGAATTAACGCGTTTGATCTGGGGTGCGTTTAATCAGGTGGACCAAGTTCTGGAGGTTCGAATGGTGGCGTGGCAATTATTTTCGTAT